AAGACCATGCAGCTTTTTGCCCAGAGTCCCTGGCAGTCCAGAGGGATACTGTTCACAGTGTTTCTCAGCCAGTCCTCTCTGCTTCTGAGCTCTGTCTTTGTTTAACCCTTTGTCTCATTCTAGTTCCTCTTGTCTGCATTGGTGTTCATGACTTGCAGGGTGGTGTTTCAGGCAGGGGCTGCTGTGGAGCTCTGGTGTCCACTGGGCAGACCTGGTGCACATCGTCTTCCAGGGTGTCCACATCCTGCTAAGGATCTCCTTCTACTTGAGTTCTGCCATCAGTCTTATCACCTACAGCCTCTTCTCCCATTTCCATAGCTACTGCCAAGACCTGGTCTGCTGCTGAGCTGGGTGTGCAGCGTCCCCCTCCCCTGGGATTCACTGCAAGGCCAGGACACTCTTACGAGATGCTTTTCACTTCAATGCACTGTTTGTGTTATGACACTGGACTGCAGACACTAGCTATGTCTCTTACTGATACTGGAAGTGGCCTAGAGAGTCTGTCCTCCACAGTGACAAGATCAGGAGACCAAAAGTAAGACAGGCCTGAAACGAAGAGCTCTTTCACGCAAACACAGGATTTAACCTAGTGAACTAAAGCTGGGGTTGTCTTTGCTGGTGATTTACCACTTCAAGGATAAGCCCTACAGAGAGTCATTTTCACATAAAGCCAGCAGCTCATGCTCAGCTGGGCAGCACAAATGCCTGTTAAACGTAAATGGAGATTGTCTCACTGCTCTGGAGACAGTGTTGCAGATTTTCTGGCATCTATTTTTTTCATAACTCCTGACCTGCAGCTCTGTAAACCAAGTCATGAGATGTCAGACTTCATAAAGGCAGAAGTGAACGGACAAGAAAGGATTAAACTTGCAAAGAGGGTTCTAGCCTTTGCATTTTGAAGCACACACGACCCTATCTAGAGTGAGAATTGCACTTAATAGCATTACATATTGAAGCTTCCCTGCTAACTGTGAAGTACTTCAACATTTGTTGGTATTCACTTCATGGGTGAAAAGGAGACAGTGACTGGCTTTGACCCAGCAGCTCTCAATCTCTTCTCTCTCTTAAAGGGTGGATGCTGACATTTCTTTTTAAACAACTGTTACAAGCTCCTGCAGAACTGAAAAGTCAAAAAGATTGTACTTTGCATCACAGGGGCTTAACACATCCTCTTGTGGCAAGAACATCAATACATTTCTGAGGAGGAAAATAGGGAGCCTCGAGTTAGTGTTTAATAAAGTTTTAGACTGACACCAAGGCCCAATCCTTGCTAACCTGATTTCATCCTTGTTTTCTGAGTCCTGCTCTGGTGGTGGTAGCAGGCAGATAGATACATGCTCTTGCTCCTGTCATTGAAACAGAAAAGCTGTGCAAAGATGCTGTCCAGTAAACAACTGGGCCACATTGCTCTGGTTGAGAAGTGTAAGTATGAAGAAATGAAGCATGCAGGAATAAATTGCTGTTTTCAAACTGTAGGCTGAAGCTTGATTCTTGATGTCATCCTCACTTGAGCTAATATTCATGAAGGTGTAGTTCTTCTAAAAGGGAAGAAGTTGTCGTAACTAATGATATGTTAGCATGAGACCACAGCAAACATCACAATGCTCTGCTTTGGGCCTGCTAAGAAGTGAACTTAGGTCTTCAGGACAATGTTGATGCAACAAGTTGAGAACTCGCCCTTACCTGGCAGGCAGATGATGGAAGTGTTTCACTTCTGATTGAAGAGTGGCTGGTGATAGCAAGGGTTGGGTCCATCTCAGCCAGCTGGAGGCTGGGGATTCAAAGTGTGATTCATCAACCTACTCTAAATATGTGCTTTAAGATGAGATGAATCCACTCTACTGAATAGAGTCATTAAATCTCACCGAGTAGAAAGGAGTTTAAAGGGGCTAGCTCAGGCGTAGCTGTTTGTGCTTTGTCAGACTAATCTCATTCTTAGTGGCCCAGAACCTTTTAACATGTAGACTAAATGCAGTTTTCAGGGGCACTATTACAACATTATGTGGTTTCACCAGTGCTCCACAGAGCAGAATTTGGTCTCCTGAACCAATGAGTAAGCTTTGTTTGTGCCTCTTTTTTGACACTGGGAATGCTAATGAGACATATTCTATTTGTTTGGTTCCCTGATGAGTAATTATAAAAACATTTTTAAGCACACTGTTTCTATAGACTGCTGCAGACACATCTAATCTTTTTTTAAAACACACACTTTTGTGAAAAGTGAGCTGCTGGGTAGAGTTTTATATGTTTGTTGTACCTATCGTTGGAGTCAGTCTCTGATGTGGATGAAGTAATATTGGGGTGTTTTTTAATTCAGCAACAAGCATACACAAAGGCCTAAAAATTGCTCAGAATGGTAACTCAGATTGTGTATTAAAATGGAAAGTTTATGAAAAACTATTAAAGCTGGTATAAAGCATCTGCTAACGTGAGTCAGGTCACAGAAGCTGGTTCTGCTTTTCTTAGGATACTGTTAGGCATGAAGGGATGGAAAGAAATTGGACATTTGTGTTTGTAGCATTGACTCAGCGTTGTGACTCCGTCTGCTCTCTGCAGGTGACTGGGGTCCTCCAAAACTCCACCTTATCCTGCCTGCCACACACAGCCTCTCCCAAATCCTCTGTACAGGCATTCCAAGGCCTCTTCTGTCTTCACCCCAGGTAAGGGCACTCTCCTGCCCGCACAAAGGGGCAGTGGAGGAAGCTCTTTTTCACCTTCCCAGTGTGACCCAAGGTTTGGTGAGATGAGCTTTACTGCAGGTGTGGGTTCACGCTATGAATAGCAAAGAGCTGTACTTTGCTGTTTTGGGAACAAATAAGAGCACCAAAAAGTGTACATGTTTGAGAGTGACTCACCAGAAAAGGAAAGACTTGTTAGTGTCTGCATTACTGACGGAAAAGCTAAAGATCTTAACCTTTCCATCGGATAAATGGTGACAGCCCAGAGTGATGTTTCATCCTGATCAGTGAGTGACATGGGATATAAATCCTAATTTTGGGGGAGAGTTTTTAAACATAGCTGATGGTTAAACAATCGCTTCTTATGTTCCAAAGCAGGAAGAACAACCCCAAACTGGCACTTTGCCCTCACTCAAAAAGACCAGGCTTAGACTGCTTGAATATCTTTCAATCAGACATGACACCTTGTGAGCTCTAGGCCTGGAAAGCACTGTTGTGTTGGGCATGCCATGACAGAGTGTAGGCACCTCTACAGGAAATCAATCATAGTGCAGCATATCTGCCTCCACACGTACTTCTGGGCATGATAACACATGACAGCAGCAAAAATTTGCATAGAGTTTATTGCTATAGCCCAGATTAAATACTCGAACATGCAAGGTTGTACAAGGTATGAAATGCAATCACCTACAAAGTCCAGAGGAAACCAACACAGCAGCAACCATGACTGCTTGTAAGGCAAGGTTTACATTATTTCATATATTTATCAGGGAATTGAAATTGTCTGAAACAAGGCAGGGAACCAAATTTGTGAATCATAGATTTCTAGGCCTTCAGTGATGGTCTCTCTACTCAAAACTGAAGCTAAAGAAGTGCACACAGCGTGCAGCCAGTGAGAGACAAGAACAAAGAAGGGAGGCAAGACTCTGTGTGGACAAGAAAAAGGAGCAGATCACTCTGCAAGAAGATCCAACCTCATACCAGTTATGGTATGGGAGAACATGCACTTTGAAGGGTCTTTGATTGTGCTAGCATGCCTACCCTTTTGCACTTTCTTCAGGATTTCCACGCTGTACAGCCACCGCCATACTCTGCAGCGAGGATATTCCTTTTAAGGTAACAAAACTTATCTCACCCTGACCTTCTGCTTGCTCTTATTTCAGGCTCCAGTTAGGGCTGCAATCACAATACTCTCCTAAACTTGAAAGCGCATTGCAGGAGCCAAGACTCCTCAGTCAGTGCCACTTGCCCTGTCTTCCACAAATGCCTGACACTTCTCCCATCACAGTGATACGGTGTTGGTCATTAATGACATATCATCAGTCCTGCCTGCCTTGGCATTGAGTGAGTACAAGAAGGAAGAAGAAAATGCACCTGTGGCTTTGCAGATTGCTTGCAGGTGCACCTGTCCTCAATGTAGTGCTCCCCAGGCTAATGCACTTTCCCTTAGCATCCTCCCTCACACCTGCATAAGCACAATGGCTAAGTATCCATACAGACGCCCTGGCCAAAGCATGTGTAAAGATTTCTGTGCATTCCTGTGCTTTAAAGCCACACTCACACACTTGCCTATATACTGAGATAGTCACCAGCATGCGTCCAGCTGGAATTTACCAGTACGTGTTCATATGGCCCTGCTCACAGTAGTAAGCTTCAGCGTCTACACTTATTTGCTACAACATCCTTTGTGTGCCTACCGTTTTTGCAGAAATCCATGGAGCCAAGACATAACCACATTGCTACCTGCTCTTTTCACAATTTCCTTGCTGTACTCCCAGGAAAAAAATGGACCCTTGCTTCCCAGGTATCACAAGCAGGGCTTGGTATCAGCCTGGTGACATTTTCTAGTACATAATGCTTTTGGCAAACACAGGTGAGGAATCTTATTCATGGTAGATGGAGGGCTGAAGAGCCCTGGAAAAATCTTTGGGCTGAAGAAGCCTGAGAGACACAGGAAATTCTCAGCCTTTTGGTGATAGCAGTCAATCATCAGAATGGTCATCAAACAGATAATGTTAAGTGTGGAGACTTCAGTGCTTGGCTTTTTTTGTGGCATCCAAACACCACCCATTAGCACATTCCCACCTCTTTTTTTCTGCAGGCATCCCCTGTTGCTAGCTGGCCTGTTGTGCACTGCCAGGGACTGCAAGTCATTAAAGTCTTTTTAGAAGTGTTATGTGACCTATTTGTTGAACAAAAGAGTCATTTGCCACCATCTATCCCTTTTAAATGGCATCCATAAAGCCACACAGACAAGAGAGTCTGGTTAGAAACAGATTTTGAGCCACCTTCCAGAAGTGGTCAGAAAAGTAGAAGGGACATTTAGCTATAGAATACAGGTTTACGAAGTACACGCACCACATTGTATGTGTTCAGCCCTGGTGCATCAAAGCCAGGAGACAAACCCTTACGATCAAATGGATAAAAGTTGAAAAGCTGCCCATTTTGGGTCTCCAGTGAGATAGAGGCAGAGCCCAGGTGCAGAACACATGGGAACTCCTTGTCAAAAACAACTTGGAAAACACGATCTTCCAGGTGGTGGAGCTTGATTGTCCGGTACTTTTCAGGAATCAGCTCTTCCACATGAGGCCCAAACTGCTGCATGACCAGCACCCCACCAGGTCCAACTTTGATCTCATAAAAAGTCAGGTTGGAATAAGTATAGTAGCCAACATAAGGGCCTGGACTTGGAGGAGGAATCAAGCTTTTCTCTGCATCTCTGAATGCCGTCTCCATGGCAGGAATGAGATACTCATATGTCTGAGTCACAATATCTCCACTCTGAGGCCTGGGCCCTGCCATCAACACAATGAAGCTCAGGCGGAGCTTGGGGATAAGAGAGAAAGTAGCTGAATAGCCATCGAGGTCTCCATCCTTCCTAATGACATCATATCCCAATTGCTCATTAATCTCCCAGGGTGTGCCGGTCTTGTTAGCAAAGTATTCAGTGGAGCACTTAAACAGAGGGGTCAGCATCGTCTTTACTGTGTCAGGCTCTAAGAGACGACGGTGGTAGGTGCCTAAGAAGACCATTGCCAGCTTGGCAAGGTCAGCAGCTGTGGAGTACATCTGTCCAGAAGGCCGCACAGCCATCTGGGAGCGGATCGGTGGTGTGATGTCGAAGCCAGTATCTTCCATGCCCAAGCGGTCCAGGATATTCTCTGAGATCCAGCGCTGGTATTGCCCCTCAGCTGCATGGTCAGCTAGCACGTGTGCCATCAGTGAGAAGGCCAGATTGCTGTAGTGGCATCTGAAAAGGAAGAGAAATATATCTGGATCAGCCTTACCTCAGTGATACAGTGTGAGTATGACTATGAAAAAACAGTGGCTAGGTCTCTCCTCTCTGGGGAAAAATCCTCATTTTATCAGATGACATGTTAAAGAGAGAGGAGAGAAGAAGGAGGGACAGAGAAAGACTTAATGTGGTTGATTTGTTGTTAAGTCAAGAAAGAGAAACTTTTTACAGGAACATCAGCAGAGCTATTTAACCATCATGTACAGAAAGAGCTGGAGATGGAAAACTACAAAAACTTTATGCAAAAACCTATATATTTGCATATCCTTGTCATTGAAATCAGGAGTAAAACATCTTAACACCAATGTAGCATTAAAAAGCAGGCATTCTTTATTACGGCGCTGGATGCACGGGGGATCGCTCCTCCTAATGTGCACGCCATACGTTGCCTCACCCCCAGCTTCTATAACCCCGTTACATGCATGTGCATGAAGTTTCCTGGAATGTTCATACATATTTATTCTATTTCCTGGAACTAATTATCATATTTGCATAGTAAATATGCATGCGGCCTGGGTCTCTGTGGGGCTTCCATCAGCCCATCGTGGTCTCTGTGGTCCCTGATGGCTGTAGAAGTGGTACTTCCTAGTGTCCTTTCCATGAATCCTGAGTCTTTCCTCCTGTATATGGTCATGAGTTGGCTCACTGAGAAGTCTGTGGATTTCTCAGCGTCGTGGTGTCTGCTGGTTTATCTGCACTTCTTTAGGATGTGTTTGTTACATGTCCTTTGGTGCGTTCTTGCCTGAGGCCTCTGATAGTCAGTCCTTTGTTTTCTGCTTAATCTTTGTGAAATTCCCTACCATTCTTAGGCAGCACATACCCCTCCTGTACATCATATCATGCACCCTATTTTACAACATCCTGACTTACTGTTTATAATTGTTCACTAAAGAAAACATTAATTTTTTTAAGAGCAGAGTTGAGAGTTACAGGTCCTTACCTTAAAGGTCTCAAGCCTCTTTGGAGATTTCACATCATATAATCATTTAAGCACCTAAGCTACCTTAAGATGGTAAAAGCACTTAAAAAGCACTTAAAAGTCTACAAAGCAGCATCCAGCAATGTTAAGTCATTAAAGACACCTGAGTGCTTGAGTTTTTAATATCCATAAAGTGATTTAAGTCTTTATCCTTGAATGAAGTTTAATGACATGAAGACATGAATGGGCAAATTTTTTTCAAACACATTTTCAAAATTCATGATGTTTTCAACCTTATTTGGCTTTTCTTTTTAAATTATGTGAAGCCACACACCTCACTGAGGCCTATTTAGATAATAAATTTGGCATCACTTCAACCATTTCCAGCCCTTCTAGCTGAATAAAACCATAATGAGCATATATATTTCTACCCCAAGAATAAATACATTCTGGATCTAAAATTTTATATCTGAAATAGAGCTGAATTTAAACTTATATAGAAAAAATACATGAAAATTTCTATATCGATGAATAGGAATTTTCTTTATGAAGAATGATGTTTGCTGTGACGTATATCCAGGAGCAGGGAGACAGAACTATCAACATGTCAAGTAATAAGGGGCTGAGAGACTATGACTGGATATTCTATAAGTCTATTATATCCTTGTGTATCTTAATGGAGAGCATAATATAAATACAAAAGAAAATATTGCTATTAAAGTCTTAAAATCCTTTAAGGCACATCTATTATGACGTCCTACATGACATGGGACAGAACTAATACAAGATTGCCATGATCGAGCCATTGAATTTTCTGAGCTTGCAGACTTCAAGCCATGGTGAATCCTCAGCAACTCTAGGCAAATTATTTCAGAATATAATTCTATTCACTAAAAACTTTGCAGACTCAGAAAGTGTTTCCCAGTTAGTCTGAACCTTTTCTCTCACCTGCTGTCCATTGGATCCTGTTCATATTTTTGAACCTTTGCAACTCAAGTAATATACATTTGACAGGCTACATAAATTGTAACAAACATTAATGGAACATATAGATAATATAGAGGCATGCAAATCACTTCAGAAACAGCATGATTTTAAGCGAAATCTATGATGATTTAAACCAATTAAATTAACATGTCTTTCCAGTTTTGAAAATCTGCAGCTTTCACAGTTTAAGACTCAGTGGACCTAACTATAGCAGTTTAACAACAACACAAACCCGGACCAAAAGCTTGTAAGTGAAACTATCTGACCTGGTTCCTGGATCAGCAACCAAGACATCATCTTTCAGGAGAGCTAGAGCATCTTGTGTATTGCCCTTCCACAGCAGGCTGGTAGATCGCAGCCGCCGGGGCAGACCTGTGCCATGGAAAATACAAGTTAGCAATTTGAGACAAATCAAAGTCCAGGAAACTTTGAGTCTGATGAAGAGTAAGCCAAAGGCAAGATTCAGTGGCAAGATGGAAACAACAATGATGCACACATGTGTTTTCTACACTCAGCAAACGTGGTGCAAGGACCTGTTCACTGCAGGACACAATATTCTAGGCAAATTATTTCAGAATATAATTCTATTCACTAAAAACTTTGCAGACTCAGAAAGTGTTTCCCAGTTAGTCTGAACCTTTTCTCTCACCTGCTGTCCATTGGATCCTGTTCATATTTTTGAACCTTTGCAACTCAAGTAATATACATTTGACAGGCTACATAAATTGTAACAAACATTAATGGAACATATAGATAATATAGAGGCATGCAAATCACTTCAGAAACAGCATGATTTTAAGCGAAATCTATGATGATTTAAACCAATTAAATTAACATGTCTTTCCAGTTTTGAAAATCTGCAGCTTTCACAGTTTAAGACTCAGTGGACCTAACTATAGCAGTTTAACAACAACACAAACCCGGACCAAAAGCTTGTAAGTGAAACTATCTGACCTGGTTCCTGGATCAGCAACCAAGACATCATCTTTCAGGAGAGCTAGAGCATCTTGTGTATTGCCCTTCCACAGCAGGCTGGTAGATCGCAGCCGCCGGGGCAGACCTGTGCCATGGAAAATACAAGTTAGCAATTTGAGACAAATCAAAGTCCAGGAAACTTTGAGTCTGATGAAGAGTAAGCCAAAGGCAAGATTCAGTGGCAAGATGGAAACAACAATGATGCACACATGTGTTTTCTACACTCAGCAAACGTGGTGCAAGGACCTGTTCACTGCAGGACACAATATTCAGATCATGGACCACTGAGTCCAGGTAATGTAAGTCCTACAGCAGCACTAACTCGGGGTTGCTACATTTCAGTAAAAATGGCTCGGTGAATGGCTGAAAAAACTATGTATCCTCAAGTGTATTTTGGAAGAGAATTGGATACTGGGTGTCAGGGAAATCCTTGTCTGTAATTCCATGTGACTGTATTGCCTTGACTACAAAGGCACACAACAGCTGCTTTAAACAGGTTTTTGTTCTTTATGCCTCGCTACAGAGGGCTTGAACTTCTCTGAACCATTCCAGGCTTGGCCTGAAGTATTTTTAGCTTTTTCTTTTTTTTCTTCCCAGCTTTAGTAACATATATTCAGGGTTTCTGAATGCAGAAAAACTGAAGTTCTTTTCACTTTTAATTCCACAACACTGAACATGGATTCCCTAAAAAATTTGGCCAGAGCTTTTCAAAATGCCACAGCTCCTTTGCACAGGATCTACAGCTCGCCAAGTCCAGAACTTGGATTATATCTGGAATGAAATCCTCGTAGAAGTTTACATCTGACTTTAATTTAGAGGTTAAGAGAAAATCAGGAAGGGTACATGACAGAAAAATGACTTGCAATCATCTGCTCAGTGAGCATATGCTTAATCATGGCAAAGCTGAATGAGGCCCTATTCTTCTGTAGCAGCAACACATTTTTCTCAGTTGACCTGACCTTGGAATCTGAACTGGAACAAGAGCGCTTTTTCTGCTTCTGGTCTGTGGTTATTTGTGCAGCTTAATGACTAGATAAGAGGTGCACGGAGCATCTTCCAGTAGACAATGGGCTTGTTCATTTCCTGCTTGCCACAATGGCAGCAAAGAAAACGTTGCACCACTGGGAGATCTCACCAGCACCATGCCAGCAGTGCAGTGTCTCTCTTGAGGTTCACTAAAAATGATAAGACCGGAAGCGTGTGAGCATAAGAGAAAATCCACAGTCATTGATTTATACCTCATGGGCTGCTAATTGAAGTGACAGGCATGCTGTTAATTTACAATAGCACCTCATACTGTCATTCATGTATAGTTGAAAATCACGGTCTTAACAAGCTGGAACTTCCCTCTAGCAATGTACCCATCAAGTCTTGAGAGGAAAATTCTTTGGAGTTACTTTTGTAATACGCAATGTAGAAAAGCCCAGATAATGAGGATATATTATAGATTAGTTTCCACTGGAAGAATTTCGATGAAAAACACTCTACAATATGTCACACAGTGGCTTTGATCTTGAAGCTGAGCAGAACCTATTCCTTTTTGGTTTTTGACAGACAGGAAATGTAACATGTGACCTCAAATATTCATTTGATTTTCAGTTGGGATTTTGAAACTGTCCTACTAAATTGTTAGGGTCCAAGCTGATTGGTGTGCCCTGCTGGTGTGGTCTGTGAAATTTGGGCCACATTCTAGAAAAAAAAGACATAGGAACATAAAAGGAGCTAAGCAGGGGCACAAATCCAGCACATTGATGGAAGCAGTGGAATGGTTGCACATTGCAAGTGATTATGCTATGACCAGGTACACTTTTGAGATATGCTTCCTACAAGTATTTCTGGAGCATACCTCACACCTCACTAGGTGATGGGGAACTGCGGCAGGGATGGGAGCTGCAGCCCCAGCACATGCTGCCCCTGCAAGGAGCAGCCAGACCAGCTTTGGGTGCTTCTGAGAGTCAGAGGGGACCAGGCAGAGTTGATGCCCCTGAGGACATCATCAGGCTGGCTGGAGCAAGACCTTGTCTGCAGGGGGAGGGGCTGGGCAGGGTTGTACACACACATTTCTTTCTGCCTCCTGCTGCCACTGACCACTTGGGGTTGTTTGTTTGCTTCCAGATTTCAATTACATCATTCCTTTGGAGGGAACCTTTATTTTGATACTGGCTTGCTTCAGATGATGCGGTACTCTGTCCTGACGTGCTGTAATTCGCTGTTTTGGTTTTAGGTCCTTTTAGGTCCTAATTTTAGGGCATTTATTCTGATCTGGAACAATGCAGGTGCTACAGGGTTTAATCAAAATGCCACAGGAGATATCAGCACAGTCTCTTTGGACATTAAATTCTGGAATCTCTAAGTCAAGTATTAGCAGCTTCATTTCTAAGAAAGGTTAAAGTTCTCCTGGGTCCTGTGAGCTCCTTCTACCTTAATGTAAGAGTTACCCAATTATGAAGGTATCAGCAGATTAATAGTCTTCTGCCAGCAAGTACAAAGCTATTAATAGCTCAGGAATCCCAGATCAAGAACCACACGGACAGCTAAATTTAGCTTAGTGATCAAGGTCTATCTGCTCAAAGCAAAGAGGTTTGGTGCCACTTTGACCCTCAACTCTACACCTCAGAAAAATGAGAGCACTCTGCGCTGGAGTACAAAAAACTGTTATGCAATTGGAGCCTGATTTCGGGTCATGCCACTGCCCACAGTGCAGCTTGACCCTTTCCTAGCAGGTGGCCTGGACAAGAGTTTCCTTCTAGCACTTCATGAAGCTGCTGACAACTTGCTTCCAAGGGTCCTGCCTGACCTCTGTGAAGTGAAAAGGTGCAGGGTCTATACTGGGAAATGGCCTCAACAGCAACCTTTTTAATCCCTGGCATATGGTCTCTTCTCTCTGTGGTGTCTTTCAGGTCGCGTAGTGGTAGGCAGAGGGCAAGCAGGTAGCAGTGTTGTCTCACCTGAGAGCTGGCTGGCCATTCTGCGCAAGGTAACAGGTGATGGCTTAAATGGCATTGAGCCTTTTTCCAAAAATATCAGCCCATCTGCTGTGTATCTCTGTTCTGATTCCTTGAGCCTTCCCAGAGGGTTCTTAATAACAAAGTTCTGGGCATAACGTTCCAATGGGTCATCAAGCGACGTGACTTTTCCTTCCTCCCACATCTTGTACAACATAATGGTGGGGAAGATCTTGGAGACACTGGCAATTCTGTTAAGGAACAAAGATTTATGGAAAGTAAACATTAAGAAACCCATGAATCAAGAAGAAAGATAGTCAGTACATGAGATCAACTGGCCCGCTCTCTGTAGCTTGACATGAAACACCTTTGCTAATTCAGAAGGGAATGGCTAAAATGGAGGTAAGGATCTTGAATTAATATCCTTAACTCTGTGTTTTGGTTTCGGC